AGAAATAACGAGGCTCTGATACCAACTGTTAGGAATGAGTCAGCACTAAGGAGGGGGGGGGGGGGTTGAATTAGTACAACGGTAAAAAAGCCATCGGTTTAAAAATCTTTTATTCGTTGAAACTAATTTTGGAAAGATGTTAAATTAAAATATATTCGAAAGGGTGTGCAGCAAAAGTAATAAGGAAGTAAAGTGGTTTGCAATAAAGATAAGCAATAAAACAGAAATGTAACTATTTTATAGTGGTTCGATCGTCGTGACCTACATCCACTCCACACTGATTCATCTTCCGTCGAGGCCACCGGCATCCACTAATGATCTTCTTTCAATGGACAAAGATCAACTATCCTTACAACTTGATTCTCCTCTTGACAGATTTAGGAGAGAACCTTTACAACCCCTTTTTACAAAGCTTCCCTCACACTCTTCATTAGAATTGTCTCTAAACTTTAGGAGGAGGGACTCTTTTTACAACCCCTTCTTACTACTCCATGCAAGAATAGCTAGGGTATTTATAGACACCAAATGGCTTTAAAACTTGGAGCCAAAATTTAAATCCCTGAGATTTCGGTGTACAGGCGATACTATCACCTGCACTGGGCGGTACCACACTAGCGGTACCGCCGCCTGACACATTCTCGGAGATTGCCTCGTAGACTAAGCCATTGACGGTGCCACCGCCTGACCCAACTTTTGAGTCATTGAATGGGCCTTTCTCTTGGCCCAAAATAGTCTCATTTTGGGCCTAGTTGGCCCCTAATTGAGTTAGCTTAATTACATTATAAAATGACTCAATTAGACTCTAAACTAACTCGATCTAGACATAATCGATTACAAGTGAATCCTTGTTGTCCAACATGTCATTCATCCGGCACTTTGTCCGATCCTTCGGTGCATTGTCCTCTCCTTCAGTGTATTACCTAATCGGCACGTTGTCTTCTCGCAAAATCCGATCTTCTTAGTACAATGTCCGATCTTCTTGGCCCGATGCCCAAATTCATAACCCGAAGCCTTCCGCCGATACGTCGACCATTCCTCCGGCCTAACATCTGATTCCTCCTACTTTAATCGATTTGCCTTTTCTGATCGAAGCTAGTATTGGATCACTAAAATGCACATTAGATAACAAACACATCAATTGATTTCATCATCAAAATCCGAGATTCAATAATCGATACTCAATAGCCCTCGTAAGGGTTGGCTGTCACTCCCAATGATTGGTTGTGCTAGATCTAAAACTTCCAAATCTATAAGTTTGATATCAAAGAATGGAATACTCATATAGGACATCCTTAGTGTCTCAAGTCTAAGGACCAAGTACATTATTGGGATGATGAAATCGCTGTATGATAATGAGGTATCATTAACCATCCAATATTTCATGAGTGAATTAATCGGTGAACTCATTCTCTAATGAGCACCTGCACTGTAGCCCTAGTGTCCCCACACAAGCAACTATGAGACTAACCGCATCCATCTTATGGATGGGTATAGTACACTAGTCTGTCCGGTTATCTCGATGTCTCTCTCGAATAATCTATAATCGGGATTATTTAGGGTCTATGTTTAAAGGTGAATCAGTCTTATTATTGTAATCTCATCATGATCCGATTAGTATTGCACAGATATATGGACATCATAATATATTTATACATCAAGCAATATAAAGTGAGAAAATATAATAATAATAATAATAATAATAATAATAATAATAATAAGTAAAAAGACTATGTGTTATGTCACACATACCATCACTCATGTGATTGGCTTGTAGGAAACCTATAACTAGTAAAAGCAGTATGACATTTCAAAAGTTTGACTATGTAACAATAGTGACGGAGAGTCGTCAAGAGCCAAGAGGAAAATTGTAGTTGGAGCAAAAGATTGAAGACTTAGTAAAGGCAAAGAGTTGTAGCATTGGCAAAGGCTACCAACGCTTCGATGAGAATGTCGAATGAATAAGTGGGGAGAATATCATAGAAAAATTATAAACATGGTGTTTGATGTTTAGCTCATGTATGTCTATGTCTTTTAGTTTTATTCATGTTTTGCACAACATATTAAGAGCTAACAGTAGACTTAGTAGTCCTATTTTGATTAGTTTTGGTGGTCGTCTTAAACTTGCAAACAAAGGTTGTATCATGTGGGTACTTGTGAGGATTTCAGTATATAATGGACTATTTTGGACCCTTTGTTGTGTGACCATTCAGAGCTTGTGAAGTATGTATTTGTAATTTGCATTGGTTATGAAATGTTTGTTAAAATGATTGCTTGTGGATCCTGAATGAAACACTTTCTCTAATCCATTTTCTCTTTTGCGGGTCCTAAGATACCATAGAAGGTTTCGAAAAGACTGACCTTTGTGGATAGACACGCAAGGGTGCCACATAAAATTAGCTAAGTTTATGATAGTAAGGAGAATTGGAATTAAATATTTCACCTTCGTAAGTATAGAAACCTTAATATTATTTTTTTAAGTATAAGAATTGGGATACTAACCATAGTTAATTATAAGGGGTAATTTATAATTACTTCTAAAATTATAAAAATTTATTTAAGATGCACTGAACTTATACATCCACATCTATATAAAATTGAAAAGACACGATGGTGGAGGAGGAGATTAAGAGGAAAAGGAGTTGAAAAGGGAAAATAAGGATGAAGATTAGGTTAGGGTTTTGATATTTTGTTTCCATTGAGTCAAATTGGTTCGAAAGAAATATTAAACTATGAATTCCACCTTAATCTTGAGGTCATTTAACCGTCTTGATATCATTTAACATAAAGATTTAGGATACATTCGTTCAAATATGAAGATTAGGTTAGGGTTTTGATATTTTGTTTCCATTGAGTAGAATTGGTTCGAAAGAAATATTAAACTATGAATTCTACCAACCTTGAGGTCATTTAACCGTCTTGATATCATTTAACATAAATATTTAGGATACATTCATTCAAATATGACAAAAAGTCACTGCAATTAAAAAAGATCATGAGGCCATAAAAAATCAATAGTTAACAATTTTTTGGTCAATTGCCCATAAATTTTGATACAATAATATTAATATTCATATTTAATACTCATTAATGAAATATAATTATCATTTTATTAGTAAAGTAAAGTTTAAAAATTAATATAAATATATTCAGAAAATGGAAAATAATTTTACTATTTATACTACTATAATGATTTTAAGGTTTTTATACCCTTTTGAATTTTGAAAATAGTATGTCTACCCTTACAATAGCAAATATGTATCCCTGAAAAATATAATCGTTATTTAATATACTCATCCGTCCATTAACATCCATTTTAAAAAATAAAATTGACCATGACTATAATTAATATGAACTAATCTGTGTTTAAAAAATTATAAAATATATAATATCCATGGTGTTTCTTTTTTCAAAGGGTTAGTAAAAGAGATTCAAGGTTAGGATGGTGCAGTAATCTGTTAAAGTCTTTATCAATTAAGCCAGTCAACATTTTTAATTTTTGTGCATTCAGCTTTTTATGGATTACTATCATTTGAAATTTTAATTAATAATCATATGATCCAATAATAATTAATAACAATCAAATATATACAACTAAAAGTACTAGAAGTACTAAGGCATTGTACATTAACATGATTATGAAGAGGTAGTCATGTTGGGATATTAGATTAAACTCTATGTTTAGATCATTTATTCTTCTGTAAACAGGGGATAGGTAATGCTTTATGTGTAAAAAAAAAAAGAGAGATGAGATAGAATCACGGAGACGACGGTTCTAAGCGTTAGTTATTACTATAAATAATAATAGTTTTAGTTTTTAGTATCTCTATCCTTCTCGTTTATCATCCTATAGTCATGATTTTTTTTATGTTCACCACCTAACTAGCTTGATGAGGCAATCAGCTCAATGCGTTCCCTCGATCTATATCTTGTCGTTAGTTGCTTCGTGAGGCAACTTGGCAACGTTGATTGCTCTAAATTATTGTCCATCGAGCTTTTCTTGTTTAACCAAAGCCCTCATTGTTGCATGTAGCAGCTATAGAGTAGAAGGCAAGTTTGTGCATCTCAACATTACCTTGTCTCCCAAATGACCAGCTTGAGTTTGGATCATCCGAAAACATGTTATTAGTCAGTGGGAATCATTCACATATGAACTCATTTGTTTTAGCTGGTGAGTACGTTTTGCCTTCTCCTGTTGCTGTCCCTTTATTTGCCTTACTCTTCACTGGAATGCCAGTCCTCATTCTATGTCCTAATTCTTGATCCATGTTGATCATGTCCATCCCAAGAAACTTATAGGTTGTGGTCTACTGGTATGTATGATGAATACTTCTCATCCATTCCTAATACTGGGCTAATAAATACCAGAATGAAAGAACATCAACACGCAACAAGTTCGACTTCGGTATCTCAACTCAAGAACATAAATCACCACCTACATTGCTAGCCTACTCACCCTTCTTCCCTTTCGCTCTCACCTTCCAAACTAACACAGCTGTAGAAGACGTCAATCTTGCTGTCCATTGTGACTACACAAGGAAGTCCATGAAGCTGGACCTAGAGGAGCTGCATCAGTTGGAAGGAACATGGTAATACTTCCCCTTGCACATGCATCTGTAGACGATAGGGCAGGACTCGGCGACGAAGCACTTGAAGCTCACCATCACCCTTTTGCACGGGAAACACGGGCCGCACGCGTGCGAGCAGTCGGGCAAGCTCGACCCCGTTGTCGCGTAGACTCCCTCCCCAACGCCATCGTCGGCAATCTCCTCCTGCATGCTCACCAGGAAGATGGCCGTCAACGAGGAACGATTCAGAGGACAAAAAATTAGAAACACATTCCCTGCGGAAGAATGCTACCTTAGACATCAGATCATCTCGTTCTCTCCTTCGGTTTTCTCTTTTGCTTGAGCCTGCTGTAGCATCTACTGAGACAAACAGACTCCGAACTGAGCATATAGACATGAACTGTAGAGGAAGAATGGAAGGAAGAGAGATTACATGGGTTTGGTCGTAATCCTTCAGACACGGTGGAGACTAACAAGAGAGCACCAAAGATGCATGCAGACCAAGACGCAGCACACATCTTCATTTGTTGCTATATCCGAAGGAACAGTAGCAGTATCGTATGCAAAGGGAAGGTAGAGGAGGAAGCGAGCGATCATTTAAACATCACCAGGTGACCGATACTGGAGATCACAGCTATAAAGTGTGATATATATACTGCGTTCAGGTCTGGGTCTTAAATGAATGGCGCCTGTGATCTTGATGTTCTTCACATGATCCTCGACTGGTGATCAGAAAGACTCACATGAACAGGTCTCATCCTTAATGAATTAGGAACAAGAGGAGAGAGAAAATAAGTGCGTGGAAGAGGGAGGGAAATGGAGTGGGGGCATTGTGTGGGATGCAGTTGCAAATCCATGGATGTCATTTGCAAGGGACTGTTCTTGAGTCATGGACTGGCAAGAGGCAGGGAGGTGGGGGAGTCATGAGGGGACAGTAGTGGTGAGTTAATGCTATCATTTGGAAGGAGTTTGAATTGGAGTCATGGGGATGTTCATGTGATTATGAAGCGCGCGCGCTCTCTCTCTCTCTCTCTCTCTCTCTCTTTTTNTTATTATATATATATATATATATATATAT